ATAATTTACTACATTATTTTATAATTTACTATATTTTATTATAATTTACTATATTATTTTATAATTTACTATATTTTTTTATAATTTACTATATTATTTTATAATTTACTACTTTTTATTATAATTTAATACATTATTTTGTAATTTACTGCATTATTAGAATACTGTGCAAGTATAGTATACTTCTGTTACACTATAACATTTATAAAAAGGTACCTAGCAGCTATACAGTGCGTTTCTAGTAATGTAATAGCAATTATAATGCAGCTCTGCAGCGCTTTAAAGCTAGAGCAGCCTAGCAGCTATTATAAGACTAAAAATTAAGCTATTTGCACATGTAGCAGCGTAGATATTGCCTATAAAAAGTAGGTAATAAACATAAGTAAATACTAAAAGTTAATAAATGTATAGCTTTTTTTACTAGTAAAAATTTTACTAAGCTGCTAAATTAGCTATATAAATATTACTATAAATATACTATTAGTATTTAAGGCTATACTAAGTCTTAGCTAAGTTACTATTTTACTTTTTAACTAATTACCTTTTACAGGCGTCTGCAGATGTCCACCTAGCTCTCGCGCCTGTGCGGTAGACATCTCCTACTGCACTAGCCGCCTGCTGAGCCCGCCGCTGATGGCTCCTGTACTACACACACACACACACACACACACACACATATATATATATATGTATAGATGGAGAGGCCCTAGGGCAGGCTAGGCTTTGCTTTTACTTTTATTCTAAGCCTAAGCTTTAGCGTGCACTACTTACTACTATATATACTCTCCCTTACTATACACACTTACTTAGAGGTAAGAGTAAAGTAAGGTAAGCAAGTATAGGTTTACAGCACAAGGTGTGTTATAAGTGTGTAGATATTAACATTATAAACAACACTAAGCTATATACTAATATACACTATATTCTAGCTATAATTTATAAGTAGTAGCTAGAAAATACACACTAAGTTTATGTTCTAAAGTAAAAGAAATTTAAAGTAGTATTTTTACTTACTTACTTACTTATTTATGTGTCTATGTCTGTGCTAACTTCTACATCTAGGCGTTCTATAAGAGGAAGTAGTACTATAATAGTAGCACTATTATAAAAAAAAAGCTACTACTTTTTTTAGTTAAAAAAGTTATAAACTAGCTTTTAAAAACTAAGTCTTATAAAGTAAAAAGTAATGTTTTTTAAAATAAAATATGTCTTACTTAGCACTTAGTTTATGCCTATATTATAGCTATTACTAACCTTTAGTAAAAGTAGAAGGCGCTAGGCATAAATAGCTACTTATTACTATATGTAGATAGTGTAAGAGAGTACCTTAAGTCTTTATAGCATAAAAATGCCTAGTAAAATTAAGAGCAGTATGCTAATAAAAGTAAAAACACACTGCTTAATAGCTATACTAAGGATAAGTTTAAGCAGCTCTATAGTAAGCTATAGACATATAGCGCAGACGCAAGCTTATTCTTAGTAACAGTAAAGTATTACTTCTGTACGCTAGTTAATCTTATGCTAGGCTACTACATGCTTACATATAAAGGTAACTACTATTTTATAAAGATTTTAAACTTATTTACTTTTAAGTTTAAAAGAAAAAGCCTTACACACTATATACTTTTAATATTTACTACTTATGTAAGTAAGTAAAACTAGCATAGCTAGCTTAAAATAATAGGCGCACTATAGTATAAAAAGCTAATCTTTTATATGCTTAGCAGCCTAGCCTTTTACTTACTTTATTACTAAGACTTAAGTAATAAGCCCTTTTTTAACTTTAGTAAGTGCTTAGCCTAGTACTATATATAGCTAATTAAGGCTAGCATAGGTAATTATATAGTAGCTTTCTTCTACAACTCCTAGCGCAACTAGGTTATAAAGGTGTATAGTTATACTAAAATCTTATCTTAAAAAAAAACTTACTTTTTATATAGTAAAGTAGCTAAGCTAGTAGAGCTTAAAAAAGTTAGTAAAAATTAAATTTAGTAAGTAAGTAAGTAAAATTAAAAGTAAATAGTTAGCTACTACTTTAACTTACTGCTATAAAAGTTTATAAAGTCTATAGCTAGCTATTTACTATAGATAGGCTACTTTAAGATCTTTTACACAGCTATTATGCTTTTAAATAAGCTTTTGTCTCTTATCTAGCTAAAGCTTAATGCGTAGAAGGGCTGCTTTAGCTTACATGCTAGCTAGATTAATAACTTAGCTATAAAGGGCCTTATAAGCCTACTACTTTACTTTAAAAAGGTAATTCTCTAGAACTTAGTTACGCTGCGCTAGCGCTTTTTTAGCTACTTTATGTAGAGCTACTTAGTGTTCTAGCACAGAGCATACACTGCTTTTACTTAGAACATTAATGTGTCTCTTAACGCAAAGGCAGCTTCTAGTTAGCTGTTAGTTTTATACTAGGTAATACTTTTACTTACTAACTAGCTCTAAGCACTAGATGCTTAAAATAAGCAGTAAATAAAAAAGTTTAAAAAAAAGCTTAAAAAAAAGCTTAAAAAAAAGCTTAATTACATGTGTAAGCTATAAAGATTATAGTTTTAGTAGCTATAAGTGCTTACATCTAGCAGCCTTATGTTCTGCCTAGAGGCATTGCAGGCGCAGGGCAGTCTGCTGCTGCTACTACCTCCACTTAGGCACACAGCAGCTGCGCTGCTGTTGCTGGCAGACGTAGATTTAAGCAGGTATACCTCTGCCTAGGCTAGCCTCGCGCCTACGCTGTCTGCGCGCTTGCCTAGCCTATTGCTGCTGCTAGTAGCGCTTAAGCTAGCGCCTAAGCTAGAACCTACACTAAAGCATTACATGTGCTACGCTATAAAGACTATAAAGGATCTTTAGCGTAAATAAATAGTAGGCTTATAAAGCTAGCCTTTTATTACTAAGCTAGACAGGCGCTAGAGAAATAAGTAAAGGTTAAGTTATTAAAGTAAGCTATAGTAGTACTCTCTATAGCTTAAAGTTATTAAGAAAATTAAGCGCATTATATAAGTGTAAAAGACTAGTAAAAAAGGAGCTATATAGTAAGTAAGCTAGTAGTAGCAGTAGCAGAGGGTTTTACTAGACTAGCTCTACAAGCATCTTAGAGTTACTTAAAAGAAAAGTAATTACCTCTAGTTTTATAGTTCTAGTATTATATATAGTTATTATTATAAGAGTTAATTAATTAGTGTTTAGATAGTTATAGCTATAGAAATTTTATTTTATATTATTTTATAATTTACTGCGTTTTGTTATAATTTACTGCATTATTCTATAATATGCTGCGTCTTATTATAATTTACTATATTGTTTTATAATTTACTATGTTTTATTATAATTTACTACATTATTCTATAATTTACTGTGTCTTATTATAATTTACTATATTATTCTATAATATGCTATGTTTTATTATAATTTACTATATTATTCTGTAATTTACTGTGTTTTATTATAATTTACTATATTATTTTATAATTTACTATTTTTTTTTATAATTTACTACATTATTTTATAATTTACTACTTTTTGTTATAATTTAATACATTATTCTATAATTTACTGCATTATTAGAATACTATATAAGCACAGTATACTTCTGTTACACTGTAATATTTATAAAGAGGTACTTAGCAGCTATATAGTGCGTTCCTAGCAACATAATAGCAATTATAATGCAGCTCTACAGCGCTTTAAAGCTAGAGCAGCCTAGCAGCTATTATAAGACTAAAAATTAAGCTATTTGCATATGTAGCAGCGTAAATATTGCCTATAAAGGGTAGGCAATAAACATAGGTAGATACTAGAAGTTAATAAGTGCATAGCTTTCTTTACTAGTAAAAATCTTACTAAGCTACTAAATTAGCTATATAAATATTACTATAAATATACTATTAGTATTTAAGGCTATACTAAGCTTTAGCTAAGTTACTGTTTTGCTTTTTAACTAATTACCTCCTGCAGGCGTCTGCAGATGTCCACCCGGCTCTCGCGCCTGTGCGGTGGACATCTCCTACTGCACCGGCCGCCTGCTGAGCCCGCCGCTGATGGCTCCTGTACTACACACACACACACACACACACACATATATATATGTATAGATAGAGAGGCCCTAGGGCAGGCTAGGCCCTGCTCTTACTTTTATTCTAAGCTTAAGCTTTAGTGTGCACTACTTACTACTATATATACTTTTCTTTACTATACACACTTACTTAGGGGTAAAAGTAAGGTAAGGTAAGAAAGCATAAGTCTATAGCATAAAGCATGTTATAAGTGTGTAAATGTTAACATTATAAATAACACTAAGCTATACACTAATGCGCACTATATTTTAGCTATAATTTATAAGCAGTAGCTAGAGAATATGCACTAGGTTTATATTTTAAAGTAAAAAAAATTTAAAGTAGTATTCTTACTTACTTACTTACTTATTTATGTGTCTATGTCTATGCTAACTCTTATGTCTAGGCGTTCTATAAGAGAAAGCAGTACTATAATAGTAGCACTATTATAAAAAAAAGCTGCTGCTTTTTTTAGTTAAAAAAGTTATAAACTAGCCCTTAAAAACTAGGTTTTATAAAGTAAAAAGTAACATTTTTTAAAATAAAATATGTTTTACCTAGCACTTAGTTTACACTTATATTATAGCTATTACTAACCTCTAGTAAAAGTAGAAAGCGCTAGGCATAAATAGCTACTTATTACTATATATAAATAGCATAAAAAAGTACCTTAGGTCTCTATAGCATAGAGATGCCTAGTAAGATTAAAAGCAGTATGCTAATAAAAGTAAAAACACGCTACTTAATAGCTACACTAAGAATAAGTTTAAGCAGCTTTATAGTAAGCTATAAACACATAGCGCAGATGTAAGCTTATCCTTAGTAATAGTAGAATGTTACTTCTATACACTAGTTAATCTTATGCTAGGCTACTACATGCTTATGTGTAAAGGTAACTACTATTCTATAAAGATCTTAGACCTGTTTACTTTTAAGTTTAAAAAAAAAGGCTCTATGCGCTATATGCCCTTAATATTTACTACCTATGTAAGTAAGTAGAACTAGCATAGCTAGCTTAAAATAATAGGTGCACTATAGCATAAAAAGCTAATTTTTTACATGCTTAGCAGCTTAGCCTTCTACCTGCTTTATTACTAGGACTTAGGTAATAAGCTTTTTTTTAACTTTAGTAAGTACTTAGCCTAGTACTACATATAGCTAATTAAGGCTAGCATAGGTAATTATACAGCAGCCTTCTTCTACAACTTCTAGCACAACTAAGTTGCAAAGGTGTACAGTTACACTAGAATTTTATTTTAAAAAAAAACTTACTTTTTATGTAGTAAAGTAGCTAAGCTAGTAGAGCTTAAAAAAGTTAGTAAGAATTAAATTTAGTAAGTAAGTAAATAAAATTAAAAGTAAATAGTTAGCTGCTACTTTAACTTACTACTATAAAAGTTTATAAGGTCTATAGCTAGCTATCTGCTATAGATAAGCTACTTTAAGATCCCTTACATAGCTATTATGCTTTTAGATAAGCTCTTGTCTCTTATCTAGCTAGAGCTTAATGTGTAGAAGGGCTACTTTAGCTTACACGCTAGCTAGATTAATAACCTAGCTATAAAAGGCCTTATAAGCCTACTGCTTTACCTTAGAGAGGTAATCTTTTAGGACTTAGTTGCACTGCGCTAGCGCTTCTCTAGCTACCTTATGTAGAGCCACCTAGTGTTCTAGCACAAGGCGTACGCTGCCTTTACTTAGGACATTAATGTGTCTTTTAACACAGAGGCAGCTTCTAGTTAGCTATTAGTTCTATACTAGGTAATACTTTTACTTACTAACTAGCTCTAAGCGCTAAATGCCTAAAATAAGTAGTAAATAAAGAAGCTTAAAAGAGAGCTTAAGAAAAAGCTTAATTATATGTGTAAGCTATAAAGATTATAGTTTTAGTAGCTGCAGGTGCTTATATCTAGCAGCTTTATATTCTGCCTAGAGGCATTACAGGCGCAGAGCAGTCTGCTGCTGCTACTACCTCTACTTAGGCACACAGCAGCTGCGCTGCTGTTGCTAGCAGACGTAGATTTAAGCAGGTATACCTCTGCCCAGGCTAGCCTCGCGCCTACGCTGTCTGCGCGCTTGCCTAGCCTATTACTGCTGCTAGCAGCGCTTAAGCTAGCGCCTAAGCTAGAGCCTACACTAAAGCATTACATGTGCTGCGCTGTAAGAACTATAGAGGATCTTTAGCGCAAATAAATAGTAGGCCTATAGGGCTAGCCTTTTATTGCTAAGCTAGACAGGCGCTAGAGGAATAAGTAGAGGTTAGGTTATTAAAGTAAGCTATAGTAGTACTCTTTACAGCTTAAGGTTATTAAGAAAATTAGGCGTATTATGTAAGTATAAAGGACTAGTAAGGAGGTAGCTATGTAGTAAGTAAGCTAGCAGCAGCAGTAGCAGAGGGTCTTGCTAGACTAGCTCTGCAAGCATTTTAGAGTTGCTTAGAAGAAAAGCAATTACCTCTAGTTTTATAGTCCTAGTATTATATATAGTTATTATTATAAGAGTTAATTAATTAGTGTTTAGATAGTTATAGCTACTAAGTAAAAATTTTATTTTATATTGTTCTATAATTTACTGCGTCTTGTTGCAATTTGCTGTATTATTTTATAATATGCTGTGTCTTATTACAATTTACTGCATTATTCTGTAATTTACTGTGTTTTGTTGTAATTTACTGCATTATTCTGCAATTTACTGCGTCTTGTTGTAATTTGCTGCATTATTCTGCAATATGCTGCGTTTTGTTGCAATTTACTGCATTATTCTATAATTTACTGTGTTTTGTTGTAATTTACTATATTATTTTGTAATTTGCTATATCTTTTTATAATTTACTGCATTATTCTGTAATTTGCTGCTTTTTGTTGTAATTTAATACATTATTCTGCAATTTGCTGCATTATTAGAATACTGTGCAAGCACAGTATACTTCTGTTACACTGTAACATTTATAAAGAGGTACCTAGCAGCCATACAGTGCGTTCCTAGCAACGTAATAGCAATTATAATGCAGCTCTGCAGCGCTTTAAAGCTAGAGCAGCCTAGCAGCTATTATAAGACTAAAAATCAGGCTATTTGCACATGTAGCGGCGTAGATATCGCCCATAGAGGGTAGGCAATGGACATGGGTGGATACTGGAAGTTGATGAGCCCATAGCCCCCCCTGCTAGCAAAAATCTTGCTAAGCTGCTAAATTAGCTATACAAATGTTGCTGTAGATATACTATTAATGTTTAACTAAACTTGTTGCACTATACAAACAGGAACACGTTTCCTTGGGGGGTTAATTTAACTTAGTCACTCTTCACTGAGTTTGGGTTATAGGCAACAAATCGTAGGAAACGAGTTCCTTCGTGAATGGGGCACTTAAAGAACTGTAGGAAACAATTTCCAATTATCTTAATGACATCTAACAGTATGCACAGAGGAAATTCAGACAATCATGTTTATATTGCTTCCTTCGATGTAATTTCAAAAAGCTCTAACAGTCGTGGCTTGAATTACAGATAACGTAGTTATAACCGAGCGAGCAACCCAAGCGTTGTCATCAGCCATGAAAATGATGCTGACGTATCACGTGTCCGAAGTCTTTGGCTGAGATGACCAGCCACAGTCCCTCGGAGCCACAGCTTGGCGTGACAGATGACACCACGAAAATTACGTCAGATCGTAACACACAGAGCCGGAGACTGTGTCAGACTAGCCATATACGGATGGGTTTTCCCGGAGAAGTACCGACTAGGGTGGCGATCAGGCATGAATCCGAGCACCACACTTGCCTCAGATCTTGCATTGACTTTTTGGCCTTACCAAAAGTATTTTCAACTTGTATAAGAGTATACAGAAGTGTAAGAACTAACAGGGCTTTGGCTCAGACACTTTCGCAGTGATGGCATTATTTGCTCTCTTAGAGAGGCTCTTTCCGGATGAGCACGAAAACGGTAGCGCCATCGTAATTTTTGTATCAAGAGCGCGCTACATCTGCAAAAGATACTGTAGAACATAACTTCATAATAACGTAGTAAACAACATCACGTGCGTCGAATTGTACGTTATTAATGTCGAAGTACCCCTCAGAATTTGCGGCACGGCGGGATTTGCGTGACGCAGGGATAGACGTTAATGCAGGCGTCCCGGCTCGGGACGTCACAATGCTCTATATTTATGCCTCTAAAAGGGCTCGTCGTTCGGATTTTCTCCATCACTATTATCTTCTGTAACCTTTGCATTAATTCTCTGGCCGCGATTCTAGTCTTAGGATTATGATCTAGCATTTCTTTCAATAGAGACTATCTATCAGGTATCTTTCCTATCGCTTTAGTCACTGTATCAAGCCACCTTCTTATCTTGCGTCGTTCCACAGCACCGTCGGCCAGGCCTCCTCTGAAGCGGCCTCTCCCACACCTCGGCTCCGTACACCTGAGCAGTACCTCGTATCGTTGATGCAGCTCTACTCCGAGGCTAGCCATTACTACTAACAATTGGGCTCCCCTCTCACCACGCATTGTATAGACCTAGGGTCCCTTATGTATACATCTTTAATGTTGTCTAGTATTTTTGCATCCTCTCGCTGTTGCGATGAGGCCAAGGCGCATAGACTGTCCGTATCTCTCAACGAGACCCAGTCGATGCCAATGCTAGTGCTCTCTCGCCTCTTTGCTTCTCTCCACCTTCCATGTCTCCTTTGTACGACAGGGCCACCTGTGTTGGGGCGTCTGTAGACAGCTAAGTAGTCTTAAACAGATGCAATGTCTTTATTTTCTTTATAAGCTCCTTGCTTAACTTTAAAGACTTTAGGAAGAATACTTAGAACAAACAACAGGTCTAGTCAAGTTTAGACAACAGGTCTGGTCAAGTTCAGATAGGAACAGCGAGGCACTTCAAAGGCTGGGAGGGGGGAGCGATCGCGACTGTTAATAGTCTTAGAAGTTAATAGCATACCGGAGAAGATTGGTCACTGCGTGTGGAAACTAACCTATAGAGAGTAATAACGTACAGTAAGTGCTAGGGGTAGGGTTTGTAATATGCTAGATGGGTTTGTCATAGGAGTTTTAGAACTCCACAATCCCTGTTACAAAGCAGATTATTGTAATCCCACTTCTAAAATCTTATAAATAGGATCTGTTTTGTTCACGTGCTTATTAGTCTAATTTGCCACAGTCCTGTTAGCAGGGCTAAGGTAAGGAAAGCTAAACATTTCTGTCCTTTTCTTTAGCCTGTTGCATCTAAAAACGTATTCTAGTCTAACTACTATAGAGACTAAGTTGCATACAAGGCAATCACACTAGATTTAACAAAAGCAATGCAACGCAATACAGGTGAATCTAGTGCCGCCAGGGATAGTCACAAATCCATCGCTATAGCCGCTTTGTAAGGTTCTCTAGTAAGCAGCGCAACAACTTAGCAGAGAGAAGAGTAGTCGCAAAGGCAGAGGTTTATAAAAAAGAATAGATAGAATAATTATAAAGAGCTAAACTAGTACACGCCCTATATGTCTAGATTTCCTGTTATACAACTAGCTATACTCTCTGGCTAAGCTAACTGTCTTCTACCTAACTTAGCTTAACCTCTTAACTAGATGCTGTACGCCATCCTTGCAATGTTCTGCCTCCTATGTGTAATCTCTTAGGCTTGTTATTATTAAGATAATTATTCACATCTCTGTCCTCCTTCTAACACTATACCCACTCCCTAAGCCTTTTTAGAGGCCCTAGGTAGGTAGGATTAGCCCTGTAAAAATTACAAAGCTTATACAGGCTATTTTTAAAGTTAGATGCATTATACTACTTTGGGTTGTCCTTATATCTAAGCTATTTTGCACAGTACTATAGCTTTCTGCAATAGACGCAGGCTTAGAGGATTTATTCTACCTTATATTTATTACTTTTATCTGCACTTCTGTAATTGCGCTTCTGCTTGTGTCTACGCAAGCAATAAGAGCGTTAGATTAGCTTTAGTTGCTTATTACTTCTAAAATAGTAGCTATAATTACTGCTTTCTTT